GATCCCCATGGACAAGTGAAAATAAAAATTAACATTTAGTTCCCCACCTCAGACTTTTTGATTTCCCAGTCAGAGAATTATAGTATTTAATGTTGTTGGATGTATATCAGTCACAAAACCATGCCAAACTATTCACCTTTTTCACAATATTCTCCTATGAAGCCTTCTGCACAGCGGCATCTGAATGAACCACCTCTATAGTCTGTGACGCAGGTAGCCTCGTGTTGACAAGGTGACGAAGAGCAAGGTGACTGTAGAGAGACAAAGTAGGAAAGTGGTTCATGTATTTCGAAACGCAGTTGTAAATCTATAAATATACGATAAAGAGCGAGTACATGAATCCGCCAATCCGCACTAATCCGTCGATCCGGTCAGGATTTATTTTTAGTATAAATTTTTCATGGTAAAGACCTCATATAATAGCATCTATGTTTTTTTTATTTTCATCTACTGTATTAAGATTTTAGTTAAGTTTTTCTGACTCTGCTGGTATTTTAGAAAATGGCTTTATGAGATTAAAAATATACTGCTAAGCCGTTGGGATCTATGGGTATGGAAAGCTTTTCTAACTGTTTCGAACGTTCGCAGAAAAATGAAGTCTGTCGGTAAAACATTTTAAAACACAAATCGACTAAAGGCTGACCAAACACTGACGATTTAAACAACGATTCCATTCTTTAAATAAACAGAATCTGGTATCTTGACTCAAATTTTCAACCGAGTCACATGTATTTTCTTAGTCTGACGACGTGCCTGGGAAACAAAGGTGGTAAGTAAGTAAGATAGTGCGCGGCACGGGAAAGTGTTTGCATGCTTTACAACATGCCATGGAAATACGCTTGTCACCACAATGAATACGAGAACAGACCGACACCATTTGCAGTGGCTTTAACCTGACTGCCTTTGCTCTAAGATCTTCACAAAGCTGTCAAACTTTTAGCACGTTTATTTGTCAAAATCAAGAGTGTTCCCTACCTCAATTGCAAAATGATGCGAACTTTTATTCTCTTTATACTCTGTGGAGTTTCTGAACTTATCAGATGACAACAATTCGCACCAAAGCTTTCCATGGGCTCCTTTGAAGGCGGCCAGGTTCACAGAAAAACAGAACGGATCGCTGAGACATTCTAACGTGCAGTCAAACACATCAGACACTGCCACTGTTCCAACAAGTGGCACACTCAAGTGATGAAACTCGTGTTTAATGAATGTACGTCTCAGGAAGGTTCTTGTGGAGGAGACGCGGTTGCCCTCGCGATACACGGGGGTTGATTCTGTAACAGGAAAGAAGAACAGTTCAGTAATAAAAGGACATGATGGCACCACTCACAGGAGAGAGCGGCGAGGAAGGGACTGGCTGGTTGGAAGAGAGGATAAAGTTGCCTATAGAACACCACCCCCTGTTATGAGTAATTGTTCTTAATGAATACTGACGGTGGTATCGCAGCGAGGAAGGGACTGGCTAGTTAGAAGAGAGGATAAAGATACCTATAGAACACCACCCCCTGTTA